ATTTGTTTGAACTCAGTGCAGTTTGAAATGCTGAAATGAAAATAGTTGCCATGGTAATTACATGGTAATTGCATAAAATTTATGATCCAAGAAAAAGGGTCCCTTGTTACTGGTATTGCAAAAAGGAAAAGAATGTAATGAAAGCAAATGTAATTTTGCATGTTCAACATTAGCACATTTGAGGAGCTATAGTAATTCTTTAGTTTTTTTTTCTTCTATTCAGAATGTCCACATGTCCCACTGACACATAAACTGTCCCAGTTGACCTTACATCCATTTTCGTCCTGATCTGAACTTTAAGGAGCTGCATTATTCAAGTAGTCGAGCGCTGCTCATGGAACTTCACAGTTTAATTAAGAAAATAAATACAATCAGTTTTGAGTTCTTTACTTCAGTAACAAAAAAAGTGATGTTAATAAAAAACAAACTTTATTGTAATTTTTTTGTTGAACTATTCTGAATAGAATAACACCTCATCAGAAAAATTAATTCTAATGTACACCTAAATTTACTACAAATCAAGAACCCTCATAATTAGTCTAATATGTCGCTGTTTCTCTGCTCTCAATTAATCAATATAATTTATGTCCAAGTTCTCATTTGCATATGAATAACCTCAAACACTTCTCAATAGGCCCGTATCTCAGAGAATGTAGAGACAGTGGTGATTTACCTAAGCAGATAAAAAAATAAAGCAGAAAATAACCCAGATGTTTCTAAGTTACTCAAATATTTTTCTACATAAAGTGATAAACGTGTCAAATTGTGTTTAAACCCATACCGAGTCTTATGAGGGCCATAATGTTACAGTAAGCTGTATCTGCATACTCTATTTACAAAGAGCAGGAAACATTTCAGCACTGCTTCAGAGAGTCACATGAACCAGTGCAGCCAATGAAATGGAGACATTGTATGGGCAAGTTTATGGACTCCGCTGTGCTTTTAGCCTCCAGCATGGCACCCTGCAGGACCATCCTCGCTTCACAGCTAATTGAAAAGATATCTTTAGAGTGCAATAACCATTCAATAATACATCACGAGGAAACATGCACTATTGAGCAAATTTTGTTAATCGTAATGAATATTGTCGGATAAGCAGTCTCAAGTTTAGTCGGACCAGGACAGAGAGCGGTTAATGATTCAGTCATGCATTCATTCTGTATTTATGATTAACTCTTTCATATAATAAGCACCAGATGAAGAGAGCTGCAGATAGGGTCAAAGTATATTTAATGTTTCATATCAAGTCGTCACGTGCATATTTTTAAACATTTGTAATATTTGTCTGAAATTACAGAATACGTTCCAATAAGAGAATGCTTCTGCTGGTGGGGGGTTTGCCTCCTGGACCTGATCGTTTTCCCAGCAATTTAGTCCAGTACTACGACGATGAAAAAAAGACGTGGAAGATCCTCACAAGTGAGTCACAAAAGCTCTGCTTCGTTTTTTGCACCTGAGGCGTCTTGTTGTAGTGTTCCTATTACGACGAGAAATAGTTGTTCCTGTGGATGACTTTAACATGGGTTAATTTCCAGAGAAAATGAGGGGTAAGGAGCTCCCTAAACCCTTCAGGTAATAATGCATCACTATCACTTTTAATACAAGCTTCTTATCAGAGCGTGACCGTAGCAGTGTACAGCTTCATGCCCGGCTTCGCTTGTTTTTGCTGGGATTTGCTGACAGGACGGACAACGAGACTTACCTGAATCTTGTGATCTATAGTGGCTGAGATAGAACAATAAAGAAAAATGTCTTATTTTAATGGATTTTAATGGTTATTCACCCACATTGATCAATACCTAAATTGAATTAGATCATGCTAACATTAACCTGTTGACTCGGTTGGAAGATGAGTGCAAATGTTCATTCACATTCTGATTCATTAACTGATTAACACACAAAAAAGGCAGAAAAGTTTGGAGAGGCATCCATACTGCTTTCACCTCAATAAAGTGCACTTTCCTTCCTTTTCTCCCGTCTTCCCTGACCTTTTAAGGCTAACCACTATATTGTTGCCATATTGCAAAGGTCAGGAGGAAGCTATTGGGAAAACACATTTCTCCATTGCATCATTGTTACTGGACATATTGAGTTCTTGTCCTTTGTTTTTCATGGAGTCATATCTCAGCTGCTTCTCTCCATTCATACATATCAGCCATGGTTCTGTGTTCTGTCACTTCAGCCCTGAGCAGCCTCGTTTTGCGTCTCAAAATTCACATGTATCATGATTTGGAACGAACCTGCAGTCTTTTCTCTGCTCAAATCCAAACATTTCCTTTCAGTCGCCCCGTGTTTAAGCTCATACTTCTCAAGGTTCATTTTCTCCATGCATACACCACAGCCTAAAGCTCGCTGGTGTTTGCCTCCTCGTCATTTTCTCATTAAACTCACACTCATGGGCATAAAACTGCAACAAGCGAAAGGTCAATAGGGATTCCCATCGCTCAAAACTAAAAAAAGTTAACACTCAAATGGTCCGTGGACAAGTGGAAGGACAAAACTGCAAAATCATCCCCTTAACACATCAGTGAACATCTGATGTAGCCTCCTCACAATGGATGTGGAATAGAAGATTATTAACATTCAATCATAACTTTTCAATGAGGCGAAACCTGAGAGGGACAGCCTTTGATTAAGACATTCATCAACACAATTTGGGCAGAATCTGATTCCTCTCATTGTGTCAGGCAGACCCACTGCTCGTTGATTCCAGTGTAAAGTTTGCCATCTAGTGTACCCACAGCAGCGTGGCCAAACACAAAACAAAGGCAGGCAGGTTTTCAGCTGCAATCCTTGTTCATTTTTTGTCTCGTTTTAAAGCAAGTGCTTGTTAAAATCTCAGACATGGAGAAGGATCATGCAGTGTTATAGCCTGGCCTGGAACAAATGAACAATATTTAGTGGGATGCAGTTGTGTTGCCGTTAAAGAGCTGGAGCAGCAGTGGTGCATTAGCTGTGAAGTCATCCAACCAACTCAACTGTGCCTTCAATGCAGAGGCTTCTGACTCCCTCTAGTGAGCCCTAGAGCTCACTGTAGACCGGAGTGATGGAGTCCATCTCGTGTGCTCACCCTGCCCTCTTGCTGCTGCTGACCCCCCAGGGGTTAGCAGAGGATTTATTTAGGCAGGGGACAAAAAGGCAGATAAATTTAAACCATTTCCTCAGGTAATATTTCACTGGAGAAGAGAAACATGATTGATATGTTTTTTCTTCTTTTCACTGCACAAGGACTCTTTCATTACATCATAATCTCATATTATTCAGCTGTTCACCAGAGGCTCATATTTTTCAAATCCACTCGGAGGACCTCAGATGCTATGGCTCTATAACATACAGTAAACCAATAATCTTCTTTTCATATCAGTACAGGATGTTTTCAAGTACGAGTACAAGTCACTAGACACCAAATATAAAGCCATCCATCCGTGTCCTATATACTGCAGACTGAATGATAATGTAAATAGCATGTAAGGGAATTTGGCAGTTGTATGGCACTCGCCTTTGAGGTGCACTGAAGGCATGCAACCTAATCCCTTCGTTTGAGATAAAGCTGTTTAGTCTGTGTAGTATTAGTCCCTATCTGAGACTTGCCTCCCGCCGAGGAGCGGCACATGTCAGCCAGCTTGAGTGAGATTGCACGGAGAGGCCAATTGGAAAGAAATGAGATTCAAGGCTGTCTAATTTTGCAGCAACTGTGATCCATCAGGCGGTGGGGAGGTGACAGTGGAAATGACTGATGGAGACAGACAGGTGGGCTTTAACATTTCACTGATTTGTGTTCAAAAAGCACCGGGCCTGAGATTTATTGAGTGAACACGATCATGTTCATTATGACTGTCACCTAAGACCATTTCTCTACATCTCAATGGGGTCACTTCAGAAGAAAAGATGAAGAGGAGGATCATAAAAACATACATGGAGGATATTCTCCCTGATGACTCCTGCCATCCTGCCTGTGGACATTTGATGCTAAACTACACTAACACATGATGAACTCCAGTCAAATTCATGGAGCACCATGCTAAAAAAACATGTACACAGTTACACTGTGGGCATTAGCTGAAGCACACATGGATTAAAATGGACTAAAATGTTCTCAAAGGGCAACATTTGTCATGTTGAGGCAGAATGTTATTAATGGAGCTGAGGTATCATGGTGATCAGTGGTTTTGTCACAACGACTCAGAGAATGGTTATTGGTGTGATAATGTTCATCTGTGAAGATAATCTGAAGTTTAGGTAATTTATTATGCGTTTGCCTTAGAGATAGCTAGTGAAATATGAGGATTTTGATGCTACTCAGAGAGAGATCCATATTGCCAGATTGTCAGGGTTATGACTGTAAAATAAACCCTAGCTGTCAATCCTCAAATCCTGTTAGATTATTAATTAAACAATAAAACATTATTGGTCAGCCAGTCAGAGGAGGAGCCACCACATGGTGGTGCTTTATTACAGCTGACTTGTGTCATGAGTTAAAATTAACTTTATTGTTTATTTCTTTTAGTAATGCCTTACAACAGCGCTCATCACTGCGTGGTAGAGGTGGAGAACTTCCTGCTGCTGCTGGGTGGAGAGGATCAGTGGAACCCCAACGGTACTTTGACACCACAAACTGCTCCTCGTTTTGTCTTTTATTTGATTTCTGCACAGCAAATATTTAACTTTTGACCAAATCTGGACGAGTTCCTTTGTCAGAGTTCAAACTCATCAGCGATAATGTAACACTCTCAGATGGTTTCAAACACTCATCCTAGACCTAGATCAACTCAGAGTGGACAAACAACACGTCAGTAATTGGCACAGATAAATAACTGTTGTTAACGCTGAAATATTTAATGTGTCCAAGTGTTAAGAGTGCTATTTATAAAATGGTGGCAGCACAGCTTCTTACTAAGAAACAAACTTTGTAAATAACCAGTGAAAAATCCACATAATAAAACTAGTTGTACTCATTAGGCTGTAAAATAAACAATCAAGTGAATACAATTACATATGGTTAAAACAATTTACTTATCTTTGAGAAAAAAAACATATTTGAAAAACACATTTTGCTAGTTTTGGAAAAAGAAAACCATACGCTGTAACAGAAACAACACTGGAAAGCAACATATATACTGTCATATGCATTGAAGTTATTTTACAGAAGCAACCAACGTCAAAAAAATGTCAAACCAGCATGCATTGTTCATCAAATCAAATAATCCTACAACTTAAGCAAAGATCTGTAACGTTAGAAGTAGCCCATGGACTAATATTCTTAAAACACAACTTTTTTACAAAGGTATAAATATTTGACTTACATATTTTATTTTATTCTGTTTTGCAGGAAAGCACAGCACTAACTTTGTCAGTCGTTATGATCCCAGATTCAACAGCTGGATTCAGCTGCCTCCTATGCAGGAAAGGTGTGTATATTTTTACTTTGGTCAGTAATGTTGGAAAACTGCACAAACACTGACGTCACATCACAAACTATCTTTTTTCTTCTAACTCCAGCATTTCTGTTAAATTATGCAAGCATCAAAAGTAAACACTTTTGTACAATTTGTTATTTAACTTAAGTTCTTGTATTTGCTTGTTTGAAAAATGTAATTTAACACAATTATTTCATTTGTGCTTGTAAACATACAGATGTATATATTTAGTGTTATTCTCATCTTACAGTCTGAGCTTTGAAACTTGTGAAAATCCAGCACTGAATGGAGCCTTTGCCAGATCAGTGATGTTGTCTTGTTGACCCCTCAAACTCAGGAGAGCCAGTTTTTTTGCCTGCCGCCTGGATAAGCACCTGTACGTGATTGGTGGAAGGAACGAGGCAGGCTACCTTTCCAGCATGGAGTCCTACAACCTGGAGACAAATGAGTGGAACTATGTGTCACCTCTGCCACAGCCTTTAGCTGCACATGCAGGAGCAGTGCACAACGGCAAGATCTACATTTCAGGTTTGGGATGAGGATATTACTCAGGCTCACAGTATGCTTAGAAACAGATATGCTACATGTAAAAGCTAACACAAAACCAAGAACACAACTAAAGAAACTAGCCACTCTCAAAGGAATGCCTATTGACCACAGCTTTGAAAAACAAACTTTTAAAGAAATATCTTGTATGATCTGAGTAGTAGTACTATATATGATTGATATGTCTCTCAGCTCCTACCATGCCAATTTTTATCTCATAATCTGAAATATTGACTGAAAATAGCCATTTTTGTCTTGGATTAGGTGAATTAACCGTGGGGACCATCTGGAATCAGGTTGACTTAACCAGCTGTAGATTATTTCCATTTATTTCATTTGAGAGCTTTACAAAAGTCTTCACTGGTATGAGTGAACAGGTATGAGATATTTTGCTAATAGACCTGCAGACAAACACATGCACTTCAGTGCCTGCCTTTCATGGTAGCGAGTAACAAAAATACAAAAAACTCGCACCAGTAATTGATATTAAATGTTAACATAGATCAGTTACAACAAACAAATGCACAAGAACATTGAGCTGAAGATAAATCTTCTTCTTGTTCCTGTTCTTGTTCTTCTTGTTCTTTTTCTTCTTCTTCTCCTGGCTTTTCCCTCTTCAGGGGTCTCCACAGCGAGTCATCCTCCTCCACCTCACTCTGTCCTCTGCATCCTCTGTCCTCACTCCAACTACCTCCATGTCCTCTCTAACTGCATCCATATATTTCCTCTTTGGCCTTCTCCTTTGTCGTTTTACTGAAGATGGAGATAAGCTGAAGATAAATACTCTACAATAAAAAGATATTTGAGAACATATTCTTTTTTGTCAGAAGGTGGTGCAGTGTGCCCCATCTAGCTGCTTGAATGTAAAAATAAATGGGCTGCAGGAACTCTTCTGTCTTATCTGCACACCCCCACATGCTTTTTTTATTATTGAATGTGTAGTTTTCAGCCCCAAGCATCTCCCTCTGGAGAGACTGGAGGGTTTAAATAGTAAATTTTGCATACAGTCTGTAGTACTCTTAAAACCTGTAAACAGTGTGGTCTCAATGTAAACAAAATTAACAGGTGAGCACCAAACAACAGAGGAGTAGATATGATTGTTTTCTGGGAGGGAGAGAAAGTTTTCATAGTCGTTCTGCTTCTTAGACTTTGTAGGTCTAAAATCACCCCTTTTGGTTTTAGTGTTTTTCATTTCTGTTCACCCCATCGCTTGAATACAGAAAGTCAAAAACTGAAACCTTCTGTGTCTCATAGCGTAGTAGCTGTGAATCATCTCCGCTCCCGTCACTGTGGTAAATTTACTAGATGAAAACAAAGACACTAACCCTGTCGTCCTCATTCTGTTTGAGCAGAACAGCTCGGAGAAGCAGCTATTAAATATGACGCATAGCTGCTTATTTGAGTAAACGAAGAAAACGCAGCATCAACACATCATGGAAGGACCCAGTTATACAAAATACCAAGTTTCTGTAGAAGCTCATGTTCATTTTAAATCTGTACATGTTCAGTGAATTGTTCTGTAAACATCTTTTGACCTGGCCGCTCTTGGGTGACACAGAAAATACGTTTATTCCACATCAATCCACTGAAGCATATCAGCTTGTCATAAAGAGTGAAACTCCCGAGCATCTATGTTGTGCACTTAAGTTGTATTTTGACATAATGGAATAATGCTGCATTGACATGTTGTAGGAGGAGTGCACAACGGCGAGTATGTGTCCTGGCTCTACTGCTACGACCCCGTAATGGATGTGTGGGCGAGAAAACAGGACATGAACACAAAGCGCGCCATTCACGCCCTGGCTGGGATGAACGACCGCCTGTACGCGATCGGTGGAAACCATTTGAAAGGTAAGCACTCACCTCCCCCTTTGAGGAAGTGGATGAGGTCAGTATTGGTACATTTTTTATTTTATTTTAATGAGTGAAGATCTTTTTGCCATTATGAGAAGGTGCTGGTCTTCATTACTCTGTGCACCTTATTTTTCACTTTTCATCATTCATGGTACAAAATTTAAAAATGGAGCACTTGAAGGTGTGTTTCTATATATCAGCTCACTCTGTTGCGTTTAAAAAACTTTTTTTGAAATGTAAGTTTATTGTTTTTAAGTCATTATTCCTGAACATTTTTCAAATACATCTTATGATTTAAGTTTTTTATTCAAACTAAAAAGTTATTAATTATCACAAGTAAAAACAAGCTGCTGAAATTTAATCAGTAAAATTTGTCTAACAATTCACGCCGTATTACTGGGCGGAAAGTAAATAAATGTGATATGTAATAACTTAAAATAGTTACGTTTAAATTAAATCAATTTTATGCTTGTAATTTTTCAAACAAATGGTTACATTTGAAATATTTTTTATAGTTTCTTCACTCAGTTAAATCAGAAAAACTGACTAACTGTAATATTTGTAACTTTTTAAACGATCTGTCGATGCTTATCATTCATTCAACCTTTATTTAGACTGGTAAATCCCACTGAGCCTCGAGGACTCATTTACAAGAGAGACCTGATTCCAACAAAGAATGATGACAACAGTGGACAACAGCGACAACAATAAACAGTTATAAAAAAGTCATACAGATTTTTTTTTTTACAAATAAGATGGAAAAAAGTAACAAAAACAGCTAGATTCTAAGGCGAATGTAGAAAACTAAAAACAGGAACATGTCTGCATTGGTCCTTGCCAGGAGTCCAACAGATCATCGTTATCAACTTTTTGTACAATTTTAATAAATTAAATTTGGTAGTTTTAAACATCTTTATATCTGGTTTCACTCAGCTGTTAGTAAATTCAAACCAAAGTAAATAACATAATTAGAAGAACTGTTAATATTATAACTTTACTTAAACAATTAAACTTTAAATATGAAGCCATATTTATGCAAATTAACATTTATTTTTTTCAAATAAAATATGTTAAAATACAAACTATATAGAAAATGGCATTTAACAGTTCATGAACTTTTAATATACCCTGCAATATTTTTCAAATTTTTGCCAAAATAATTGTGCAACAAAAGAGGTTGTAAAAGTTTGTACAAAGAAAAGCACAGATTAATCAGAAAGCTGTGTGGTTTGTGATCGGTAAACACTAACAAACTTATTGCACTAACAGAACCTTCCCAACTAAAAGTGTTCTGACAGCTCCCATCTTTGGCTGTTATTAGCTTATCTGTATTCTTAACCCGGGGCTGCAGTAGCTCGGTGGTCAGCGCTCTCCGGGGTCTTGTAATCCTGAGGTTGCAGGTTTGAGTCCAGGTTGCGTCAGGAGGGGCATCAAGAAAAAAACTGTCAAACTTTTCACACGAGTTCACATGTTGTGCTGACCCCTGTCAAAAGGAGCAGCCGACAGAACATCTGCATTCTTTGCTCATAACAATGAAGATTTAATGTTCTCTGGACACAAATAATGAACTGTTGGCCCAAAGGAAGATGTAAATGCTGATGATGCACATTAACAGTACAGAACCATGATCTTCAGTTACATTTTAATGAAAAAGTAACTGAAGTTAAATAGTTGATGCTGGTCAAATTGTACTATTTTTGTAAATTACATGTACCAGCTTATTGAAGTGTAAATAAGCTTTTTAATGATCATTCATGAATGTCTTTTTTCAGCGTAGGTGTGTATTTGTGCCTGTTTGTCTGCAGTTTGTGTTGAGGATATGTTTTTTTTTTTTTGTAAAAGTATTATTGGGTCTCCAGAGGCTCTTAGAAACAGGACAAAGGAATAAAAGTTTCACATTAAACTGATTCAGATATTTTATTTTTCATCAGAAATGTGTCTTAAACCTTTAGCTGTAAACGTGCCTCAGATGTGAGCCAATAGTAACACCTGCTTCTCAAAGGCTGTAATAAGTTTTTATTATGAAGTTTTATTGACATAAGTTGGGCAGTACAAGCCAATATGACCCCAGCAGCCTTTTGACTGAGATGTTTCTTCATCCTTTTGGGTGCACGGACTTGATATTAGCCTTTCCTGCTCGCCCACATAAAAACAGCAGGAAGAGAACAAAGGAAACAAAAGCACTGTTTTTTTATTAACCAGCAGATTTTTTTTGTACAAACCTGGATACAAAACTACATTTTCAGTTTAAAAAAGTGTCGTAACCCAGTCATTGTAGCCTGGGTTGATGTTTTTCCTGTTTCTCCAACAGGTTTTTCTCACCTTGATGTTATGTTGGTTGAGTGCTATGACCCAAAAGCTGACCAATGGAACATCCTGCAGACACCCATACTGGAGGGTCGCAGCGGTCCGGGCTGTGCTGTTTTGGATGACAGCATCTTCCTCGTGGGGGGGTACAGCTGGAGCATGGTAGAACATGTATTTTATATTGTGTTAAATTGGTGAACTCTCCATCCGTCTGTCGCCTCTGACGTCTTTACTCTCTTCTTCAGGGGGCCTATAAGTCTTCAACCATCTGCTACAGCCCAGAGAAAGGAACATGGACAGAGTTGGAGGGAGAGGTGGCAGAACCTTTGGCGGGCCCAGCCTGCTCCACTGTCATCCTGCCCGCCTGCCTCCCATTTAACAAATGACAACTAATCCAACCGATGGGAGGCGAGAAAGAGGAGCAGCCGAGTGACTGGGGGGAGGATCATCCGTAAACAAAACACTTGTCAACAATTTTGCGACAAACCCTCCAAGTTGTAAACCGGGGGTGTGTATAAATTATTTTTTTACAGGTTGGTTCAGAGCACTTTCGTTATTCACTACTAAAAGAATTGAGGGGGTATAAAATACAATTGTGTATCTCACTCTTCGGCGAAGTGGTTGGTTTCATATTTGATTTTATTTAAAGAGTTTGTGAGTGTTGTTGGCTTCTCTCCTATAGCACGCATAGTGTTGAGCTGACTTAAAGCTTATCAGAGCCATCGTATTTGTATTCAGTAGCAGCATAATTCCAGCAACAAGCAGTGTTTCAGCAACTGACAGCAAGATCCAGTTTGTGCAAGAGCTGGGTGAGCTTCAAAGTGTATAAATATTCAGCTGTTGTGTTAAAACTCATTGCTCTCTGTCTGGGTTGTTCATTTATGGAGCACTTCTGTTGTCTCTCTGAATATGAACACATTTGTGCGCCTGAAAAGGAGCATTTTATATATTTTTCTTCAAATGGCTGACATGATTAGAAGAGGAAGAGGAGAATACCTGAACACAGGTGGGGTTTTTTTTTTGGTCCAAGCAGCTCCAGCTCACTGTAAAAAGACACAACTTGAATAGGAATCACACAGCTCTTATTTTACTTAATGTCTTGATAATTGTACACCCAGACTGATGTTGTGTTTTACAAGTAATCTGTGAGACAGAAAACCTGCCAAATGTTTGTTGCAACTATTGTTGATGCCCCAGGCAAGGTGGTTAAAGAAATGTTGTTGATTCTTAAAGGAATAGTTCAGATTTTTTGAATAAGACTCTGTGGAAAGATTATGGTCAGTATCTTACCTGTTGCAGATACTGTAGCTGTTTGAACAACTCAGTAAAAAAAATAAAATAAATAAATCTGTTTGGATTGATAGTTTATTACAATTCATGCAGACACTATTTTATGATCTAGGGCTCCCAGCACAGGCAACCCAAATCTGGACCCAGACTGGGCAGTAAATTTCAGTTGAATGATATTTATTTTCTTATGGCACACTTTTTCCTGACATTTCTCGTAATTGGTTTTAAGTGGCACAGCTTTGCTCAACTTTACTGTAATTTCCATTTAAAATTAGGTTTTTAAAAGTTAAAAAAAGAGCTTTTAAAATAGGCATCAAACAACGATCATTTAATGTCAGTTTCAGTATTTCTTTTTTTTTCTTCACATGTAAATAACAATAAATATAAATCCTCTGCAGTTATTAATGATAAGTAAAAAAAAATCAGATTGTGTTAGGTTATATCTAAATATATACTTTAAATTGAAAAAAATTGGTTCTAGATGGACCTTGCTGGTTATTCCAGCAGAAACATGATATTCCTGTTATAAGTGCCTGGGCTGCACAGGAAGTGCTACAGCTACATGCAGCTGCCGCTATTTGCATTTACAAATAACCACAGAATTCTATATAAATATTCATATAATATAAAATTGACAGCAGTTTAAAAGTTTATAAGGAGCGTTCACATGATCAGCCATAACTTTAAAGATTGGCGTTCTAATGTAACTACATAAACCACTTTAATCCTGGTAAACTCATTAATCTGGCTAAAATGTTACATTTATTTATTTGTTTTAACCTGAGGTTGTTCAAAGAGCTATCATCAACAGGAAGTATTAATTGTTCACAGCAGAACTCCACTTCATAATAGCTGAACTACTGCTTTAAAATTCTTAGGACGCACTAATGAAGGTACAATCAAATTGTAATTGCTAGCCATTGTGTTCCTGGTTAGCATGTTTGGGTAAAGAGACAGATGTGGAGGACATTTGTGTTGTCTGTCCTCCTCCTGTGAGTTCAGGTGAGCAGGTTTGTTTAAGAGGCCACTTCATTTTTAAATGTATATTTGGAGGAAAAAAGAACAAACAATGGTCTTTGATGCACTATTTGTGAACTCAGCAGACAAAGTTCACTGAAATGTAAATTTATTTCATGTGCCGTGTTTAAAAATCTATTTCCTGTGCAAATGAGTCCAGTCTCATCTACGTTACTAAGTTCAATAACTTGACTCTAAATATTGATGCTGTTGAATTCTGTAAAATAAAAAACGATGTCGATTTCATTCTTGTACATAACCGCCTGCAATGAAACATTTTTGTGCACTCAATCTTGGATTTATTCTCAAATCCTGTTATGTCCTTTGCATTTTAGAAAAATAAAATAAAATGACCCTTGATGACTAAAACTACTCCTTTCGTTGTGATGATAAATATAAAAAAATGGTACATTTCGTTAAAACTCATCAATTATATCACAAAACACACAAATGAGATTAAATAAATACTTCACCAAGCAACTTTAGATCTCACTTTTGTTCATTTTGTAAATGGTTTAACCCTAAAATCAAAATTGTGTTGAGTCATAAACATCAACAAATGGGTGAAACTTTGAATTAAAAGCAGCAGATTTGTCTCAGTTATAAAAACGAAAGTTTCACTATTTTAGCTTAATGACAAGAGCTAAAAACATTGCTCACAGATATTAAGAAAGTACCTTGTAAGTACCAGTTAAGTACCTGTACCTAACTGGTCCACACTTTATTGTATGCATTGGGTACTTAGCTGGAATTTAATAGTATATGCATCATAAACTTTTGCTACGGGCTGATCAGTCATACAAGTGCTGTGAGAGTTTGGTTTGCCCGTAGTAAGTCGGACCCCAGGGTGGGAGTTGGACTCCACCAGGGCTGCCCGTTGTCACAGATTCTGTTCAGAACTTTTATGGACAGAATTTCTCGGTGCAGTCAGGGGCCGGAGGGTTTACGGTTTGGTGGCCTCAGGGTTCCATCTCTGCTCTTTGCAGATGATGTGGTCCTGTTAGCGTCATCGTGCCGTGACCTTCAGCTCTCACTGGAGCGGTTCACAGCTGAGTGTGAAGCAGCTGGGATGAGAATCAGCACCTCCAAATCTGAGGCCATGGTCCTCAGTCAGAAAAGGGTGGATTGTTCTCTTCAGGTCGAGGGTGAGGTTCTGCCTCAAGTGGAGGAGTTCAAGTATCTCAGGGTTTTGTTCACGAGTGAGGGAAGAATGGAGCGTGAGATTGACAGATGGATTGTTGCAGTATCTGCAGTATTGAGGACTCTGTGTTGGTCCGTTGTGGTGAAGAGAAAGCTGAGCTATGAGGCAAAGCTCTCCGTTTACTGGACGTTCCCTCACCTATGGTCATGAGCTCTGGGTAGTGATCAAAAGAATGAGATTGTGGATACAGGCGGTTGAAATGAGTTTCCATCACAGGGTAGCTGGACTCTCCCTTAGAGACAGGGTGAGAAGTTCAATCATCCAGGAGGGACTCAGAGTAGAACCGCTGCTCCTCCACATTGAGAGGAGCCAATTCAGGTGATTCGGGCATCTGGTAAGGATGCTCCTTTGGTGCCTCCCTAGGAAGGTGCTTCGAGCATGTCCGACTGGGAGGAGACCACGGGGAAGACCCAAGACAAGATGGAGAGACTGTCTCTCAGTTGGTCTGGGAACACTTTGGGGTCCTCCTAGAAGAGCTGGAAGAGGAGGCTGTGGAGAGAGATGTCTGGGCCTCCCTGCTGCCCCGCGACCAGACTTCTGAACAAGTAGAAGATAATGGATGGATGGATGGATGCATCATAAGTAGTAGGTATGTACTCAGTACATATCCAATAAGTACCAGGTGCATACCTGTTCAAACAGCTCACAAACATATCCTGTATGTACCCAGTATGAACCTCATAAACACAAACTATGTACCCTGTAAGTACCCATTACATTCCTGTTTCGTACCCTGTAAGCACCAGGTACAAACTCTGTACGTACTGTATAAATGACAAATTGCTACCAAAAATTTTGAAACTAAATATTTTTCTGTTGTCCCAAGCTGTAATAAACAAACCTGACATGTGCACTGCTGTCTTGGCTGAAGAGATGACTGCACAACATTTCTCATAGAGTTTACATTACTCTGAATAGATGATGCCTATAAGGACTTGTCTCCTTAAAAAAGGCAGAATATTAAATGTGCACCCAACGCACCTTAAGACAGCTAAATGAAGACGTCACAAGATGAAAGAATGTGGGAGTTTGTAAAATGTGAAGAAACAAGCCTAGAAAACAGACCTGATGTTTACCCTGAAGCCAATCTCTCATGCCAGTACAGATTTATTTTTAAACCATTTACTACCAACTGTCTCCGGCAGCGTTAGACAAGTAAAACATAAAAACATCCATGTCTGGCTGTACATACAACCGATGTTCTCTCCTTTCAGTGGAAGCACTTTGTCTGCTTGGCATGTCAGTTTCGTGCACCCGCTTGGCCAGGAGCCCAGAGGGCAATTATTTCCTCACAGAGATGATTCTGTTAGATTACGCTAATCCATGTCTAATTCTTACAATATGGCTTTGGAACATTTGCAGATACACAGCAGCCTTCATGTCCCAAAAACTCTCGGAAGATGACAACAGTCTAGAGATATTAAAATGCAGGACCAGGCAAATAAAGCACAACAGTGTGTTGATTAAGACAAACACATGGACATCCATCCTCAGAGAAAAAATAGATGTTTAGACAGAAAGATGCAGGTGAGCTTCTGAGCATGTGTGGATTTGAAGTCTTCATTTTCTCTCCGGTGTCGAAGGCGGCAGATGGTTTCTCCACTGCTCAAAGTCCCACTCTGCCTCAGCCAGGGGAATAAAGGGATTGGATAAAATGAACACAACTGACCTTTTAATTAACTTCACAGACCATCACAGCTCTGTTTTAATCAACATGCTCCCTGTAATTAACTCTACTGCAATAATTAAACATAACAAGGAAACAAATGGCAGGAAAAAATGACAAAGATCTTTTAAAGTGTCAAATTTGTCAAGAATGGTTTTAAGGATGGATGAATGGATGGATGGATGGATGAATGGATGGATGGATGGCTGGGTGGATGGATGGATGGATGGATGGATGGATGGCTGGCTGGCTGGGTGGATGGATGGATGGGTGGATGGATGGCTGGGTGGATGGATGGATGGATGGCTGGGTGGATGGATGGATGGATGGATGGATGGATTAGAAATAGAATTTAATGT